TCAGAGCCTCAAAATGCCACTTAGGCCGACACTTGTAGAATATATGCTGGCCAAAATGGTTTGCTATTATTTGATTTTCTGGAATTCATTGGTGGAGGCTATGCATATCACCCAAATTGATCCAAAATCCATTGTCCATCCTGTGTTTTGCAAAGTATTTTTAATTTTTGGGGCAAACACGATAGCTCTCAATGATAAAAAACGATATTCCCAACAATCTATAAACTAAGTACATTATCAAGGGACCATATAGACATGAATTTGGTTTTATCGATACCCCAAAATTTCGGAAAATCTAGGCCCAACTTTCACGGGCCTTTCACGCCGTGGGACGGCCTTTCACGCCGTACGAGGGCTTTTTCACGCTAATTCACGCTCATTCACGGTCCACTTTTTCAACGAACATTTTCGGAAAATGAAAAAACACACCAAACCAACCAATCTCAAATGGTTTATCATGCCACCTGATGGCTTTTCGAAGTTAGATTTGTTGAATCATATATGTCACGGTCAGACATAGTCAAAAAGGGGAAATATACCATTGCATCCCTTGAAAGAAATCTGAGAAATCCATTTTTGTTTGCTTTGGTCCACCTGGCCACCACTCTGAATTACAATTTCTTCCCATCGCACCATTGATACACAGTCTAACTGACGAATTAGAGCCAGATTTGGCGTATATCATTTCGAATTTCACGTTTCCTAGAAACGTGAGACAATAATCTACGATGTTCAAGTGCCAGCGTTTGGCTTCCAACAGGGTTCCCGAGATCCAGGCTCCAAAAATTTGAATCCAACCATTCGGGAGAAACTAAAACCCATTGGCCCAACATGGGAAGTGGAAGATAGCATGCATTGTATATATTATATATTATAATATATAGTTGTTACCGGGCCAGACATTTTAGTGTCTACCCCATATGACTTCCCACATTATATAATATACCGACGTAAAAAAATATAGGATATCTGGATGGGATCCCAAGTATGAGCCAGTCATCGGCCCTGGTGAATTTTCTGACACTGGTACTGCAGTGTTCTTAATTAGGGAAATTTGTGGATGGGGCGGTACTGGCCCATCGCTTTTTTGGTCTTCAGCATTTTGCTGATCTCATCAAGGTTCCCACGCTTCCAAATGGTCTTCTGGACGCGGATCTGCGAGGCAAGCAGCAGCACTGGAATGGTTAGTGGGGAGATCAAAATGGGATCAATGGTTGGGGAAGCGATCATGCAAGTGTTATTTTATGACTTCGATCCCCATAGCAAAAGAAATAAGGGTTCAAGAACTTTCTGAACCAAGAATGCAATTCCCTAAATTGTAGTAGTACTGTACTACCTAAGTTTGTCACAAAATGGAAAGATCCCCATGGCCCCGTTTCCGCTTTTGGTTGGTCCATGCCTTGAAGATACTTTTCAAGACTGCTACAGTAACACGTATTCCCAACGCCTTCTTCCTGCGGTTCTGGAATGTCTTGGCCGCTGCATTCACATCTGCCTTGAGCCTGAAGGCATGTTTCGCCTGGCAAGGCCGGTGCATAGTATAAATATTTTATAGGGACCTAATTTATATAATCCTGGGGAATGGGAATGCTTATAATGCTGAATCATCAACTGGTCCCCATTCTAGTTTCTAGTCGTTACCTGGTAGGATATGATTCCGGCCTTCAGGGCGAAGTGCATGGCATACAATTTTTCGGCAAAACGAACAGGATACACTTGGGTTTTGCGAAGGTTGGGACCTCCTTGCCTCAGCCACCACAAATATCGTTGCCATAATTCTTTTGAAGGGGATGGGCCCATGTATTGTCTTTCAAAAAATGACATAAAAACTCTCAAGCTTTCGAATCAACCTAAGAAGATGACACTGACTTCCGGCCATCAGGCAGCTGCTTCACAATAGTAATCCCCTTAGACGACAACTTCGCTTTCTCGAACTGGGTCAGCTTCTTCTTGAGTTGGGAAACATATGGCCTTAGCTAGTGGGCTACGCAATATGACTTGAATTTTCTGGATAATGCGGGTGGTAATAATAATTGTCTGGGGTGGCTTCCTCATCAAAGAATTTGAAGTTAAAAACATGATATCAACCAGTGGGCGCTCACTGATGTTCTGTTGCTTCAGGCTGAGCACGCAGCGTCGAAGCAATGGCCATCGAAAGCTTTGGCGAAGGACTTCCCCAGCTTCCCATCCAGCTTGGCCGTTGCCGAGCGGTGCGTCATACACTGGGGGGGTTCCTGAACAACTGCACTGTGGAGATAATATAAATACGGATGGAATCCTATAAATCTTTTTAGGGGCCAGGTTATGGTCTTGAAATCTCCACAATAGTTACGTAGTACTAAAACCAGGGCCTGGATCAAATCTAGAATATCTTAGAATGTGGATTCGATCATATATATAATTATCATGTACACATGCATGGCATGCATGCATGCTATGATGGATTTGAATATGAAATCATTGGGGCCCCGACAATCTCTGGAAGTAGGAGGCGATGCCGCTAGTTTCCATCAGAGTCCGGAGAAGAATCAATTCAGGAAAATGTCGAACCTGAGAGGAACCTGGCTGTTCCAAAAACCAGTAACATCCTCTGCACGTCAGCACCATCAGGAAGATCACTGTACGAACAGTAATCCTTAGCAAGCCACAGCTGATCTGGGCACCACAAGCGAGATCAGTTTAGGATATAAATTCCCCACCTGCCAGGTGAGGGTTGCTAGATTTTAACAGAGCTCTGCTCCTCCTCCTCCGCCTCCTCCGCCTCCTCACCCAAATAGAATGCCAGATAGAATGCCAGAAAGAATGTCAGAAAGAATGTCAGAAGATATGCCAGAAAGAATGTCAGAAGATATGTCAGATAGAATGTCAGAAGATATGCCAGATAAAATGCCAGAAGATATGCCAGAAGATATGCCAGATAGAATGCCAGAAGGTATGCCAGATAGAATGTCAGATAGAATGCCAATAGGTATGCCAGATAAAGTGCCAGAATGTTTGCCAGATAGAATGCCAGAAGATTTGCCAGATAGAATGCCAGATAGAATGTCAGAAGATATGCCAGAAGATATGCCAGATAGAGTACCAGAAGATATGCCAGAACAGATTGCAGAAGATATGCCAGCTAGAATGCCAGAAGATATACCAGATAGAATGCCAGAAGATATGCCAGATAGAATGCCAGAAAGAATGTCAGAAAGAATGTCAGAAGATATGCCAGACAGAATGTCAGAAGATATGCCAGAAAGAATGTCAGAAGATATGTCAGATAGAATGTCAGAAGATATGCCAGATAAAATGCCAGAAGATATGCCAGATAGAATGCCAGAAGGTATGCCAGATAGAATGTCAGATAGAATGCCAGTAGGTATGCCAGATAAAGTGCCAGACTAGAATGTTTGTCAGATAAAATGCCAGAAGATTTGCCAGATAGAATACCAGATAGAATATATGTCAGAAGATACGTCAGAAGATATGCCAGATAGAGTGCCAGAAGATATGCCACAACAGATTGCAGAAGATATGCCAGCTAGAATGCCAGAAGATATGCCAGATAGAATGCCAGAAGATATGCAAGATAAAATGCCTGAAGGTATGTCAGATAGAATGCCAGAAGGTTTGCCAGTAACAAAGTGTATAAATGTTATGGTGGGGATAACTCGAAGTAAAGTAATTTGAAGTAATTTGAAATATTTTATATTATTTATAAATAAATAAATTAAATTTAAAACTGGGGCAATACGTAACCACCATATTATAAAATAATACTATTACACTCCACAAATCCCCAAAATACAGATCGATTGATTGCTTTGACTGGCTACTGCGCTGCTGAACTTATGATGGATGATATTGGACTGCTGGTGCGTCCTGGTGGAAACATTGCAGAGCTTTCCCCAGTTGACGACGCAGTTTCCTGCGACACTGGCGGACAAGACGTTTGTCATGCCGGACGATGTGCACCGTTCCCACGCGGACAGTGCCTTCTCTGAGAAACTCCAACTGGCCATGTGTGAAGAAAAGGGTGAGCAAGGACCGAGTATGTGGAGATGGCGACCAACACCGTGTGTGAAGAAAGGGTGGGCAAGGACCGAGTATGTGGAGATGGCGACCAACACCGTACCAGTGAGACCACATGACATGAACTATAATGTATATCGATCGATAATAATTGTAATATTGGAGTATCGGGGTGATATTATAATAGCCACAACATTTTTTAAATTACAACCCCAAATATGTGACAAAAAATACAAATTTAATTGAGAAAAGCTTCGTATTGGCACGGGCAATGTAATCAAACTTGGTTTCATTTCCATATGGCTGGGTGGGCTTGCGGCCATGGGTTCCGGAATTCACCCATACAAATGTAGGGCATGGCAACCCCACAACGGCTAAGGAGTCAGGCTCCATCCGTAGGCCCATGCTGAGCAGATTCAAGTAGCCCTGCCTCAACAACACTAGCACATATATAAAATCGACTAACTCGGTTTGAAATCGATATTTAATTAATATATGAACATGCTACCCTGACTGCATGTAAGCTCATATACATGATACTGATCGAATATCTGGATATTTATAAATTGAAACTAAGTGGTTTGAGGCCCCCACGTTAGCAGAATGTCGTTCTGCTCTCCACGTTCCAAGACATCGTAGTGCTCCCTAGGCCCAAGCTGAGGGGATCGAAAAGTAAATGGTATTCGAATGTTTTTGGGGTTATAATAGTATGGAGATCAAGATAGTACACGGGGATCATTAAATAATCAGATATATGATGTTGATTCTCACAAGCGTGGCCGTGTTGCTGTGGAGGATCCAGGGTATGCAGCAAGCTGGGGGGCGAACGTCTTCTGGTTGTGACGGCCTCAATGCACTGATCATGTGCCAATGAATTGTGCGGCCGTATTTATGATAATTCATGATGCCACTGAAATCCCCCGAGTTCCCCACGCCATGTGGTCGAGATAGCTTTTTCACCGCAAAAGACATCCAAACATTGCACATCCTGAGCAAGCACAAGATGGGCAAATTGATTTGTTTAAGGCTGGAAAATCTAGGATACTGACTCTTTGTCGCTGCCCTTCTGGCAAAGTTTGGGCCAAGTAGTCCAACGCATGCAACCTCACAATTTCATAACTCATATGGCATCATAATATACCATGATATATGCTTTATCCAAATATTGGCACTGTGCTTAATCGATAGAATGAGATCCCCACACTTCTCTTGGACATCCCCATGTCTGCAGCAGCTCCGACTCCTTCCGTGTCAAGGCCACGCCTCTCTTGGTCCAACCAGGAGGCAACGGCTTCGAACAGGACATCCTGCTAAGCCGGTGGTGGGATGGATCTAAACCAGGTTGGATTGAGCCAGAATCAGCTCAAGTAGTGGGCATTTTTTCCAGCACAATTGAGTGTTCATGCAAAAACTCATATGGAAAACTTGATTGAAACTTAACATCGATTGATCCATCCATGATTTATCATGATGTGATGCAGCTTTTGATGTTCTTTCGATGTCTCTTGATTGATCCTGCTGCGTGCATGTATGGCCACCAGGTGTAGCCGGCACGCTCTTGCCCCAAAACATCGGTATATTGTAGCGCACATGCGTAGCATGTGAATGCAGTAAAATAATAATTTTATTTAATATATATGATAATTATATCAAATAGGTATCATCAGCACCAGTGCGCTATCTCAGCTTCGAATCTTATGTTCGGGTTCCCATCCAGCCAACTGCCGAGCATGTTGCCAGCTCTTGCCGACACCATACTTGCCCCAACTCAGAGTGACACCGCCCTTTCGATCTGCCTGTGTGGCCGAGAGAATGTTGACAATTGAGAGATCTTAAGATTGTAGGAAATAAAACTGTACTAGAAAACAATAATAATATAAACTTGTCGATTGGTTGTGCACATCTTAGATCTATAGATCGATGTTCTACCTCGATCTAGTGCTATGTTGATTCCCCATCCCCACCTTGAAGTTCTGTCCTGTTGCCTTGTTGATGGCCAACACCTGCTTTTCACCACAGCCATAGACATAGAATTGGCCTCGCAGGATCACTCCTATGCTGCAAGTTGTGTCATCCTCCGCCAGCTGCTTGAGGGTGGCATCAGGGGCTTTGACCGTCCAAGTCCTGAACAAACATGGTTTATTTATTGATGGTTTTGATCAAGACATGATCGATCATTATGCAGTACAAGTTGTACAAGTTGTAAGGAATTTACCCTTTTGGTTGAGACCCTGGCGATCGGTCAGCAATGTCATCGGGGACTGCAAGTTCTGGGAACTTCTGGGCTGCTGCATGGATGAGCATGATCTGGTCTTCTTTCTGTTCCTGCATGATGAATTCATGAAAGCAATCCCAATAGTTTTTGTTCGCTTACGGACTGCAAGAATTGAAACATTTAAAAGAGACGAGATCGATGTAGTTTATATTTGAACAAATGTCCTTGGAAAGCAGCTGCTTGCTTTCAGCCTGACAAATCGAACCAACAACATCAACAGTTCGTTCATTCAAAGTTTAAAAGAGGCCCAACCCAGAGTTTCCCACTTGAGGTCCCAGACGGAGGCAGGTTTGGACCCATTGTCATCTGAATCACGAGCTTCCTAAGGCATGGTGAGGTAATAGTGAATCCTATCGGATCGATGAGTGTTAATAGAAGAACGAACTAAATTATTGATTGAGCATGAGGATACCACCGCATCAGCAGGTTTCTTCCTTTGTCTGGCCGGTCGGGCCTAGGAATCACCATGAGATCAATTGCTAAACCAACTTTTATACTACATGTTGAATCGAATATACAATATATCATAAATAAATTAAATATAATATAATCTTTATACCGGTTAACGGTTTGTTTTTTCAAAAGAAATTTGGGCTATAAAAGATACGAAACCAAATTCAGAAAACCACTCCACCACTTGCCAAGGTGGAGACCTTTGGTTCCGGTTCCACTGCTTCGCCATCAGCCTGGGGCTCCTGGCAAACCATCACGGGTACAAGTCGGTTTGACAGGTTCCAAAGATCAAAAATGGAATGATCTTATCCAAAGATCAAAAATGGAATGATCTTATAATTATAAACGGAATAATGTATAGAATCAATGCCTGTGACATTAATTGAAAAACATGGATCATAATGCTTAAGAGCACCTTGCCAGTTTTTGTGGTGTATATAGTCGGTCCACCAGAAAAAGAGCAAAAATGTTCTCCTTGTTCTGGCCACGACGCTTTTTTGCCTAGCTGTGAAAACTAATGCAGCAAGCAGGCTTTGATGCAAAATAAAAAGCATGTATGAAGCATGCACATATGCCCACATACATGTCATGTCCCTCAAAGTGCATAAACTGGGTGTGAGTAATCTATCTATCTATATTAAGCACACTGATATATATAAGCTAGCTAAAAATCTAAACAATGGAATATGGCCTCTTTGGTCGGTTTCTTGTCTTCCGTCTTCTCCTGAAGCGGGCTGGTTTTATAGTTTGGAGGTATGCGCTGTGGCCTTAAACTCTCCAGGCCTGATCAGGGGCTTTCTTTTTTCGTTTCTTGTCCTGCCGTACACAGCCCGGTTATACAGGCAGAGTGGTAGATCCAATTTACTACTCACTGTGCTGGCTCTGTTTTAGACAGTACATGCTCAGTCATCCCCAATCCAACCAATGTAGCCGATCTATCCTCAGCAGCGTCCGGGGCATCTTCCCTTCCATTCTTGCTGGTGCCAGTCTCCTGGCATATAATATAATATATTAGAGGGTACCCGGGTGCTAATAATGGAGCAGTTCGAGTACTGTGTTTTGTCCTGTGCTTCTTTGTTTGTGGACTTCGGCTTCGCCGCAGTTTTTGCCTGCTGCAGACTTCGACTTGTCATTAAAAGATCGATCATCTTGTCGAAGTGAAAACGGGAAAAGGTGTTGTCCAAATAAATGATGCCCGCCTTAGCCTTCGGCCTTCTTCCAGGTTTCTTGCTTGCAACATCTGAATAGACTTCCTGCCATGCGCAGAGACTCTCAATGTAAGTCATATTAATTAGATGTTTTTGAAGCTTCTATGATCTAGGTTTTAAATAAGTGTTTCTACATCGATTTGGAATTTATAGATGCCACCCTGGGGCCACCTTCCCAAATCACCTTTTACCCTTCCTAGCCTCAACTTCACTGCCGCTTTCAGCATCATGCCCTCGTTTGGATCGAAGTTTTTGGAGATGCACTTCAGGCAAATGCTGCATTGCTTCGTCCTGCTCTTTTCCAGGAACTCCTTCCTCCGTGGGTTCCACATGAGAGGCCTTTCTCCCACGACCCCGTCCTTTGCCTCGGCCCCTTCCCTTCCCTTGGACCCGTCTTTCGGTTGCTTCACGCTTGTCCTTCAACTCTTTCTCAGCTGCCCTTCGCTCCGCATTGATGTCTTTTCGGGTTTCGCGCTGCAACTGCGAAGCAGTGGCAGGGATAGGGTAGGGGGAAAATATGAAAGTTCGATTTATAAATCTATAAATATATATTCGAATGTTGGTTGGCTCGGGCTCACTAAGAAATCATGAATAATGGATCGATGCAGCGAACATCAGACCAGGCCTGAAGAAGTAGGTTTGAAACAGCCTTGAACTGTGTTTGATCTACCCCGGCTAAATCAGGAAAGTCTTTGAGATGCTGCTCTGTCAGCTCCGGTAGGTCCTCCAGCTCAAAAAGCGGTTTCCGGTCCTGCGGGGCCAAGAGCAAAAATGTGGAAAATGGCAAAAAAAACTTGAATAATACAATTTATATAAATTGATGATAGGATATAATATATGCAGTACGTAATATAAGAAGTGAAGCTCTTCGAAGATGAATTCTATATCAATTATTGGACTCCCTACTTTATAAAAATCAAGCTGTCTTCTGCTTAATCCATTTGGCAAGGAAAAAATGAACCCTGCCTTGAAAGCCTGACGCCTTGCTAGATCTTCTTCATCAGACTTCAAATCTACCCTTTCCTCATCCTTTTCCAACGCCTCCAAATGCTCTTTTGAAGGTGTTGTTGGCTGGGAAGGTTCGGCACCGTCCGAGGTTGGCTCAGCAGGCATGCTAGCAGGCTCATTTTTCTTTGTATCATAGGCCACCCCATCTCCCTCGTTCCACTCGGGTGGAGTCTGATCTTCTTGAAAGTACGATTCTACTTCTTGGCTTTCCTCTACGAAAACAGCTTTGTCGGGTGTGCATGGAACTTGGGATTCCTGGACCACAGGTGGAGTGTGGCTAGGTTGGCTGTCTTGGTCTATGACTGTTTTTGGCACTGGCGGCCCTCTGCACTCAACCTCTGGCTCAGCGGGGCGGGCAGAGGTGTCAAGGGCTTCAGGCTCAACAGAATTCTCAGAATCCTTCTGTTCAGCTTCTTGCTCAAGCTCTTCTTTGCTACAGGAAAACCCCTCTAATGGGTGACTGCTGGGCTCTGGAGTGTCAGCATCCTGTTCTTCGTTCTGAGTCTTCTTGCCTGACGACCACTCTAAAATAACGTACATGATTTCGATGACATATAATATTGGGAATTATACTTGAAATCCAACATATAAAGGCCCTATCCTCCGAACCCCCCACCTCTCTTCCAAAGGTGCCCACGCATTGTCCTGACCACGTACTTCAAGTCCTCCAGTTTTTTGTGCCCAGCCCTGGCACACTGCGCAAAAATATGCAAAACTAAAAAAATCGATGTTGTTGGCAAAATTGTTGGGTATGCGGGCGCTTAATATACTTTTCAAAAATATGCTACATTTCAACATGCATTTTTTTGAGATCGATCATATAATCATTATACCCCGGCCAGATCAATCATAAGGGATAGGCCTGGCTCGTTCATTCCTCCGAGCAAGGAAGATGATGGCCGAACATAGGTTCTTCTGGTTGGCAGCTTCGAGATTCGCCCAATCCTGCATGTGCAGACACCTGCTTGGCAAAACCCACACCCAAATTATCGCCTATTACAAAATTGGGTTTGTACCAATTGGTTTATATACATATATAAGAGCAGGGTTGCCCAATTATTCCATTTCATCCAATCAAGGCATGTCAATACAGACCCCTTTGGACCCAACTCCTCGACGTCCATCTTCAGCTTCGCGCGGCACAAAGGCGATTCTGTGTGGAACTTCATGAACAGGGCCTGCAGCAAGATGAGGGAGGGCATGACACTGCAGTCAGATGAGGGCCCCACAAATTTCACTTTGGAACCCAGCCTTTAGTTCTGAGTTCCATGGCAAATCACCAGCAAAGACCGAGAGCCATTCTATGTAAAACTCGTAGTTGTGCTCATCCTCCACCTACCCGGAGCTTGAACAGTTAAAATTGGATCATGATATATATATTTGAACATGATTAAGATGATACTTGTAGAATTAAAAACACATCAGCATATATTATATGGACTTAAACGTCAAACAGGCAAGCCCCACAACGTCAAGAGAAAAAGCTTTCTCCACAGTCTCCAGTTCAGAGTTGACATTGATGAAGCTGAAGTTGCATGGCGCCTGGCAATTGCGATTCTTAGCATATGATGGACTATAGCCGGACTATGTCAATCGCAGTTTAAAAAAATGGGGCGCCTGCTGGGCCTTCAAACGCTTCTGGACTTTCTCCTTCGGGATATTCTTCATTTTGGCTAGATCATACCAGCGCTTTTCCATCCAGTTCTGGTCGTTCAACTTATCCCTGTAAAAGTCCTACCCGGGGATGCATATGTATGGCAGGTACATATTCCATTGTTTACTGTATATGTAGATTTCAACCAAAGGATGATGACTCTATTGCATTTGCTATTTTTTTGGGGTTAAATTCTGCCCATCACAATTGGGTTGGCCTCCCCTGAACAAGTATGTATGGGTCCTCCAGCAAGGCCATCATATTAGGCCGGGGCTGGTTGGGCATTGTGCCAAGACTAAGTGCCAAGCAGTTCAACCCCAAACCGCCTAGCAACCCAGCTACAAAACATCCTGGGCCAATCAGCGGCGATCTCAAAAGATAAAAGATAGGATGATGAGAAAAGTGTGAAAGGTGGCTGTATCAATCGCAAGCAAGGAGGGCTAGGGCGAACCTGTTGCCCCGGCATTGACGCCTAAGTTGTCAGGAAATCCGGGATGGATCATGTTAGGCCTACTTTTATAATCTTGACACCCCCAATCAAGATTCAAGATGCTGAGTCAAGGGCGTTTGGAAGCCAAAAGAACTCTGGAACTCCGATAGCGGTTTTGCACCATGGCTTCAAAGATGGGGAAATCATTCAGAAAGTATCTCATATAGATCACCGGGTCAAACCTGCCCTTGCAATTTTGAAGAAATACCGGTATAAACACATGACAGATCATTACTTTTTTAAGAACATCCAAGTAAAACACATAGCAGATCATTTTGTTCATGGATCCACTGCTCCAACTCAAGATCCTGGGCCGCAAACCTGAAAAGGCAACAGGCGAGATGAGACCCACCTCCTAAAATCCATGCTCCAAACTTCTGGGGGCCTGGAGATACTTGAGTAGGCTTTTGGCAACAGCCTTTCAAAGTGGGGCCTGGGAAGCCCCAGGATTATATAGACAATATATGATATATGTATTATACAATCATACGGTATACCGGTATGTCCTCTATTCCATTATACCCCCATTTTTGTTGGTTAAATCCCCATCAAATATGCACCGGTTTTGATCCATATGGTACCATTGGAGCAGAGTCCTATTGAAACCCTGTCCCTAATGGTTTTTATATATATAGGGCCTATATATATATATATACGGTAACTACATTTAAATATACGGACTGGTATTTCATACTACCTCCGGGGCCTCGTGGTCTGGCCCGCCCTACATATATATCATATATAGACAATATATGATAATTATGATATAATACATGTATTATACAATTATACAGTATCCAAACCGGTATGTCCTTTCCATTATATCCCCATTGTTGGTTAAATCCCCAATGCCTTGGTCTTTGCAAAGCTCTTGGTTTTCTGCTCCTGCTGCATCTCCGATCATATCCTAGGTCGCTTTTGGTTGAGCGGTGGTTTTCTGACATGGGCACGTTGACTCATGGAACATCGTCGATAATCAATCTTCCAGGTTGACGTCATTTGAAACTTGAAGTGCAAAAAAAACACCTAGCAACTCTTGAGACACGGGATATTTGGGGCATCTAAATCCTGTCACTCGTTTAGAAGGTGGCAAGTCTAGAAATGAGGCCCGCAATGCTGGGTGACCATGGTAACTCCAAAAAGTGACTAGAAACTATGGTCACTACCAACTCAGGAGTACAAGCTTAGATACTCATCTCGCGAGTAGCCCAACAGTTGTTGCTGGATGTTGCTGGGACATCCATCATTAGATATCTGTAGAATCAGAAAGTACAGTGACTCGAAGTCGTGTTTCATCACAGCTGGATATGGCGACATCATCTCACCACATCTCCAAGATTCTCATCCATATCAGCCATGCCAAGGAAGGGAAAGGTGGCGGGAAGTACTGTGGTTTCTGCTGTTGTGCCGAGCTTGCGGGAATGTCCCGTCCATCAGATCCCAAGAAATGGAAAGATATCGATGTTTCAAAGGGGACACGTCTTCTCTTGGAAGATCTGTCTTGCCTTGCAGGTCGTATTCAAAAATGTCTGCTATTTTTCTCCATTCAACGTAGAAATTTTAAAAATGTTGACATTTCAGTGGACAGCAACTGTTATTTTTGACCATTTAAATGGTTCTTTGCAGAACCAAAAGCTGTCAGTGGCTGTCATGTCCATGTCGACTTCGGAATGTCTGTCCTGATGATCCTGAAGGTAACTGTGGCAAAGCCATTTCAACGAAACAGTCCATTGCTCTATATATATATGGAGGTTTCTATAAATGGAGGTGTACCCCAAAAACGCTGGATGGTTTATTTCATGGAAAATCCCATCTAGAAATGGATGAGTACCCCTATTTCAGGAAACCCCCATATAGTTCTAGCAGGGTTTTTGTTCAAGACTTTTTTAATTCACCCTCAACAACCCCACTATATACTATATACATCTATATACTGTACTGGTGTAAGATTTTGAAATCACCAGTTCTAAACCCTTCGTGTTTCCTGTTGTTTGGCCTCCACTTATGCGTGTCAATACTTCCTTTTTCCCACTTTTGGCATGGGGCATCCAGAATTAAAAAAACCTCCCGATTCGAACCATTTGGGCGCCATTATACCAACTAGGCCGCATACCGCATACCCAATAATAAACCACAGATTGGGAATGGTTTTTTGTGGATTTGGGGGGACACAAAAATCTTTGCGATCGCCATTCCAGGTCGAAATTCCCAATCTATCTTTGGATCGAAAAAAATTCAAGCCGTGCATTGGGGCATCTCACAAGTCGCAGGTGCTCTAGATCAATCGAAGATGATCATGATTAAACAATAAACATGTAGGTCTCACACACTCAGGAGCAAACAGACTGTCCCTCCGCATCCGCTTGGAGTTGACTTTTGAACGAGCTCTGCTCAGCTGAGATTGAATCTGATGTCTAGCTCGAAACCCATCTTCTTCTTTTCCTCGATCACTTGCTTCAAGGCCTGGCTGTGCGCAGTGCTGGATGGCACTATGACGTCCCCCACAGCGCTAGCCCTCAGCACCCTCAGCACCCTTCAGTCAGGGTCAGAATCTGAACCTCAACATCAAGAATAAGCAGAGGCACCATGAGCAGCCACTTGGAACACCGGGACACAAAAGGCCTTCACTCCCTCATCGCCGATGGAATTGTCATCCAATCTACCCTACCTAAACTACCCCCCCCTCCCCCCCCCTCAAAATAATTTCCAAAATTATTTTCAGGGGGTTGATAGTGTCTTCGGTTGTTATACGAAACAACCCTCTTTAGGGTAAAATAATTTCTTACGATAGACCCCCCCCCCCCCTTCATCGACGGTGGTGAACCTTCGTAAAAATTATTTCAACCCCTGGGGAGTTAATTATTTTGCCCCCCTCCGGAGACTCCAATCTTTACATATGTATACTTTGGGACCCCCCCCTACCCGACATGATCGCCTTCGCAGGTGTACCGGGGATATTCCATCCCTTCAAGAAAAACGCGGGGGTATCAACCAGGTTTTGGAATATGTTTAAAGAAAACATGTTGTTGAATAATTTTCCTAAGCAGTGGGCCTACGGATGTGCATATTGGAATATGAGAGTTATAATCTAAGCCTTCAATATACCCTGGAATAACTATGTTTTGAAATAATTTCATCTAAATTTTAAATGGTTGAAAAAAAAAGATTTAAAAAAAATCCCCTTGGGGATTCCCGCAAAATGATGTTCAACCATCATCTTCATCACTGGTTCTTTCCTACATATTTCCATTTTTTCATACTTCCCCACATTTCTCTCACATTCCCTTCATTTCCTTCCAAAAAACACTCGGTGGGAATGAGTGTGAAAGGGAAAGCATTCGGTGTTTATAGTTTTTTTTCAGCTGGCAGCTGCTCACTTTGATTTTTGAGGGGCAGGGTATCTCCAATACCCCTAAAATAATTTCTCCCCTTGGGAAATCCCACGGAATGGCATTCAACCTGGCCCTTTCCTGTAGTGATTTTCCTAACCTGTCATATTTCCTTTTTCTTCTTCCATATTCCCTTCATTTCACTCCAAAGAACTCTTTTTTTGGGAAGCGTTCGGTTTTGATAGGTTTTTCATTTGTTTCCAGTTTATGGGCGAGTTGGATGGTTCTGGCAGCTGCTCACTTTGGTTTTTGAGGAGTGCAGGGTATCTCCACTACCCCTAGAATAATTTCTTCTCTTGGGAAATCCCACGGAATGGCATTCAACCTGGCCCTTTCCTGTAGTGATTTTCATAACCTGGCATATTTCCTTTTTCTTCTTCCATATTCCCTTCATTTCCCTCCAAAGAACTCTTTTTTGGGAAGCGTTCGGTTTTGATAGATTGTTCAATTGTTTCCAGCTTATGGGCGAGTTGGATGGTTCTGGCAGCTGCTCACTTTGAATTTTGGGAAGTGCAAGGCATCTCCAATACCCCTAGAATAATTTCTCCTCTTGGGAAATCGCACGGAATGGCATTCAACCTGGCCCTTTCCTGTAGTGATTTTCCTAACCTGTCATATTTCCTTTTTCTTCTTCCATATTCCCTTCATTTCACTCCAAAGAACTTTTTTTGGGAAGCGTTCGGTTTTGATAGGTTTTTCATTTTTTTTCCAGTTTCTGGGCGAGTTGGATGGTTCTGGCAGCTGCTCACTTTGGTTTTTGAGGTGCAGGGTATCTCCAATACCCCTAAAATAATTTCTCCCCGTGGGAAATACCACAAAATAATATTCAACCTGGCCCTTTCCTGTAGTGATTTTCATAACCTGTCATATTTCCTTTTTCTTCTTCCATATTCCCTTCATTTCCCTCCAAAGAACTCTTTTTTGGGAAGCGTTCGGTCGGTTTTGATAGGTTTTTCATTTGTTTCCAGTTTATGGGCGAGTTGGATGGTTCTGGCAGCTTCCCACTTTGATTTTTGAGGAATGCAGGGCATCTCCAAGATCCTTTGAATAATTTCTTAAAGAACGAGTTTGGTTTCGAGTTGCAAGTTTTGATGCGTTCTTGCTGCAACTTAAGATTGAGGGGAGATTCTGACATGACTACCAGGGAGCACACATGAAACATGATGTTGAATTTATTTGCGTTGTAGGATTCGCAACGCATCAATCCTAAAAAACCAAAAAAAACTAAAAAAATAATAAACCACTTTTGCAAGTCCAACATTGCGCAAGATGGGATATCGCATTGTTCTACATCGTTTCCTCCGAAAGTTACAACACTGCCATCACTGCGAAGAAGTGCTGTGTGAACACAGCCTGCAGAAACTTGAGTGTACGACATTCCTTCATCCAAAGGTGGAATATGCCATCGGATCAAAACAAGGTCAAACACTAAAATTATTTTGAAATATTTTTTTTGCTGTGAGAGTGTTTTCGTCAAAATTATTTTGAGGGGGGGTAACCCATCAAAATAATTTCCAACCAGAAATTATTTTGGTGATGGTTAGAGTCTATAAATCTATACATCCAACATGTTAGATTTTTGAAATTATTTTCAAAAAATTATTTTGGAGGGTAACCCCCCCCTGAAATAATTTCATTAAGGTAGGAGGGATGTCATCCAGTTTGATGCTTGTCACGGAAGTGTTCGTCTTCAAAGCTTCAGCCAGTGCCTGGCCGAAGGGAAAGCGACATGGAAGTAGACCAAGGCTAAAATCTGTGAGACGTCATGAAATACAAATGAGACACAATTCTCAGTTTCCGATTCCGAGTCTCCAAAGAACAATTCCCACTGGATTCAGGGCAAATGTCATTGACACAGAGATGCACTTCCAGCCAATATCATGCCAATATCCCAGTAGAAAGCATACCACATCATACCACACAGAATGAGTTCAAGTCAAAAAACAATTCACCCACTTCACTCACAGTCAACTAAATTTGAAAACCTGGAAATGCGAAGGATGAGCATGAGCAGACTACAAAACCTTTCACCAAACTGGCGACAAAGACACCATGAGCAGCCACTTGGAATCCCGGGACACAAAAGGCCTTCACTCCCTCATTGCCGATGGAATTGCATTGCAGGTTGGTGCTTGTCACGGAAGTGTTCGTCTTCAAAGCTTCAGCCAGTGCCTGGCCAAAGGGAAAGCGACATGGAAGTAGATCAAGGCTGACATCTGCGAGAACTCATGAAATATAAAGGAGAGACAACTCTCAGTTTCGGACTCCGAGTTTCCAAAGAACAAATCCCACTGGATTCAGGGCAAATGTCGTTTACAGAGATTCATTTCCAGCCAATATCATGCCAATATCCCAGTAGAAAGCATACCACATCATACCACACAGAATGAGTTCAAGTCAAAAAACAATTCACCCACTTCACTCACAGTCAACTAAATTTGAAAACCTGGAAATGCGAAGGATGAGCATGAGCAGACTACAAAGCCTTCCAAAAAGCTCGCGACAAAGACACCATGAGCAGCCACTTGGAATCCCGGGACACAAAAGGCCTTCACTCCCTCATTGCCGATGGAATTGCCAAGCAGGTTGATGCTTGTCACGGAAGTGTTCGTCTTCAAAGCTTCAGCTAGTGCCTGGCAAAAGGGAAAGCGACATGGAAGTAGATCAAGGCTGACATCTGCGAGAACTCATAAAATACAAAGGAGACGCAACTCTCAGTTTCAGACTCCGAGTTTCCAAAGAACAAATCCCACTGGATTCAGGGCAAATGTCTTTGACACAGAGATGCACTTTCAGCCAATATCATGCCAATATCCCAGCAGAAAGCATACCACATCATACCACACAGAATGAGTTCAAGTCAAAAAACAATTCACCCACTTCACTCACAGTCAACTAAATTTGAAAACCTGGAAATGCGAAGGATGAGCATGAGCAGACTACAAAACCTTTCACCAAACTGGCGACAAAGACACCATGAGCAGCCACTTGGAATCCCGGGACACAAAAGGCCTTCACTCCCTCATCGCCGATGGAATTGCCAAGCAGGTAGATGCTTGTCACGGAGATGTTCTTCTTCAAAGCTTCAGCTAGCGCCTGGCCGAAGGGAAAGCGACATGGAAGTAGACCAAGGCTAAAATCTGTGAGACGTCATGATATACAAAGGAGACACAACTCTCAGTTTCCGATTCCGAGTTTCCAAAGAACAATTCCCACTGGATTCAGGGCAAATGTCATTGACACAGAGATGCACTTCCAGCCAATATCATGCCAATATCCCAGTAGAAAGCATACCAGGCATACCACGTCATACCAGACAGAATGAGTTCAAGTCAAAAAGAAATTCACCCACTTCACTCACGGTCAACAAGATTCGAAACTGGAAATGCGAAGGATGGCATGAGCAGACTACAAAGCCTTCCAAAAAGCTCGCGACAAAGACACCATGAGCAGCCACTTGGAATCCCAGGACACAAAAGGCCTTCACTCCCTCAGCGCCGATGGAATTGCCAGACAGGTTGATGCTTGTCACGGAAGTGTTCGTCATCAAAGCTTCAGCTAGTGCCTGGCCAAAGGGAAAGTGACATGGAAGTAGATCAAGGCTGACATCTGTGAGACCTCATGAAATACAAAGGAGACACAACTCTCAGTTTCAGACTCCGAGTTTCCAAAGAACAATTCCCACTGGATCTAGGATTCAGGGCAAATGTCTTTGACACAGAGATGCACTTCCAGCCAATGTCATGCCAATATCCCAGAAAGCATACCAGGCATACCACATCATACCAGACAGAATGAGTTCAAGTCAAAAAGCAAGTCACCCACTTCACTGACAGTCAACAAGATTCGAAACTGGAAATGCGAAGGATGAGCATCAGCAGACTACAAAGCCTTCCAAAAAGCTCGCGACAAAGACACCATGAGCAGCCACTTGGAATCCCGGGACACAAAAGGCCTTCACTCCCTCAGCGCCGATGGAATTGCCAGACAGGTCGATGCTTGTCACGGAAGTGTTCGTCATCAAAGCTTCAGCTAGTGCCTGGCAAAAGGGAAAGCGACATGGAAGTAGATCAAGGCTGACATCTGTGAGACCTCATGAAATACAAAGGAGACACAACTCTCAGTTTCCGACTCCGAGTTTCCAAACAACAATTCCCACTGGATTCAAGGCAAATGTGGTTTACAGTGCCAATATCCCAGTAGAAAGCATACCACATCATACAACACAGAATAAGTTCAAGTCAAAAAGCAATTCACCCACTTCACTCACAGTCAACTAAATTTGAAAACCTGGAAATGCGAAGGATGAACATGAGCAGACTACAAAACCTTTCACCAAACTGGCGACAAAGACACCATGAGCAGCCACTTGGAATCCCGGGACACAAAAGGCCTTCACTCCCTCATTGCCGATGGAATTGCCAGACAGGTCGATGCTTGTCACGGAAGTGTTCGTCATCAAAGCTTCAGCTAGTGCCTGGCAAAAGGGAAAGCGACATGGAAGTAGATCAAGGCTGACATCTATGAGACCTCATGAAATACAAAGGAGACAAAACTCTCAGTTTCAGACTCCGAGTTTCCAAAGAACAAATCCCACTGGATTCAGGGCAAATGTCGTTTACAGAGATTCATTTCCAGCCAATATCATGCCAATATCCCAGTAGAAAGCATACCACATCATACCACACAGAATGAGTTCAAGTCAAAAAACAATTCACCCACTTCACTCACAGTCAACTAAATTTGAAAACCTGGAAATGCGAAGGATGAGCATGAGCAGACTACAAAACCTTTCACCAAACTGGCGACAAAGACACCATGAGCAGCCACTTGGAATCCCGGGACACAAAAGGCCTTCACTCCCTCATTGCCGATGGAATTGCCAGACAGGTCGATGCTTGTCACGGAAGTGTTCGTCATCAAAGCTTCAGCTAGTGCCTGGCAAAAGGGAAAGCGACATGGAAGTAGATCAAGGCTGACATCTGTGAGACCTCATGAAATACAAAGGAGACAAAACTCTCAGTTTCAGACTCCGAGTTTCCAAAGAACAATTCCCACTGGAATCAGGGCAAATGTCGTTTACAGAGATGCAGTTCCAGCCAATATTATACCAATATCCCAGTAGAAAGCATACCACATCATACCACACAGAATGAGTTCAAGTCAAAAAGCAAGTCACCCACTTCACTGACAGTCAACAAAAATTGGAAACTGGAAATGCGAAGGATGAGCATGAGCAGACTACAAAACCTTTCACCAAACTGGCGACAAAGAGACCATGAGCAGCCACTTGGAATCCCGGGACACAAAAGGCCTTCACTCCCTCATCGCCGATGGAATTGCTACGCAGGTTGATGCTTGTCACAGAAGTGTTCGTCTTCAAAGCTTCAGCCAGTGCCTGGCCGAAGGGAAAGCGACTTGGAAGTAGATCAAGGTTGACATCTGTGAGACGTCATGAAATACAAAGGAGACACAACTCTCAGTTTCCGACTCCGAGTTTCCAAAGAACAATTCCCACTGGAATCAGGGCAAATGTCGTTTACTCAGATACATTTCCAGCCAATATTATACCAATATCCCAGTAGAAAGCATACCACATCATACCACACAGAATGAGTTCAAGTCAAAAAGCAAGTCACCCACTTCACTCACAGTCAACTAAATTTGAAAACCTGGAAATGCGAAGGATGAGCATCAGCAAACTACAAAGCCTTTCACCAAACTGGCCACAAAGACACCATGAGCAGCCACTTGGAATCCCGGGACACAAGGCCTTCACTCCCTCATCGCCGATGGAATTGTAAGACAGGTCGATGCTTGTCACGGAAGTGTTCGTCATCAAAGCTTCAGCTAGTGCCTGGCAAAAGGGAAAGCGACTTGGAAGTAGATCAAGTTTGACATCTGTGAGACGTCATGAAATACTCTCAGTTTCTGACTCCGAGTTTCGAAACAACAAATCCCACTGGATCTAGGATTCAGGGCAAACGTCGTGTACTCAGATACATTTCCAGCCAATATCATGCCAATATCCCAGTAGAAAGCATACCACATCATACCACACAGAATGAGTTCAAGTCAAAAAGCAAGTCACCCACTTCACTGACAGTCAACAAAAATTGGAAACTGGAAATGTGATGGATGAGCATGAGCAGACTACAAAGCCTTCCAAAAAGCTGGCGACAAAGACACCATGAGCAGCCACTTGGAATCCCGGGACACAAAAGGCCTTCACTCCCTCAGCGCCGATGGAATTGCCAGACAGGTCGATGCTTGTCACGGAAGTGTTCGTCATCAAAGCTTCAGCTAGTGCCTGGCAAAAGGGAAAGCGACTTGGAAGTAGACCAAGGCTGACATCTGTGATCGTCATGAAATACAAATGAGACGCAACTCTCAGTTTCCGACTCCGAGTTTCCAAACAACAATTCCCACTGGATTCAAGGCAAATGTCGTTTACTCAGATACATTTCCAGCCAATATTATACCAATATCCCAGTAGAAAGCATACCACATCATACCACACAAAATGAGTTCAAGTCAAAAAGCAAGTCACCCACTTCACTGACAGTCAACAAGATTTGGAAACTGGAAATGCGAAGGATGAGCATGAGCAGACTACAAAACCTTTCACCAAACTGGCGACAAAGAGACCATGAGCAGCCACTTGGAATCCCGGGACACAAAAGGCCTTCACTCCCTCATCGCCGATGGAATTGCTACGCAGGTTGATGCTTGTCACGGATTTGTTCGTCTTCAAAGCTTCAGCCAGTGCCTGGCCGAAGGGAAAGCGACTTGGAAGTTGGCTGAAATCTGTTTCAGAAAGGATACAATTCAATCATTGCCAAGTATTTAAACAAGAGTGGTCGTCCCATGTCTAACTCAGTGCAAACCACATGCGGCAAAAATTGTCCAGAGAATCAACACATGAATATCCTGAAAATCTCGGTTCGACAACAGTACTTGGAACTGTTCAGCAAATGCTCCAAATGTCGCACTGGCTGAAACGTTGCGTGGGAACAGTGAACCAACTTATGTCGATTCGATTGACACAAAAGAAAAAACGCTGCAGAACTGCCCCAGGTGGTTGTCCAAAAATTAGCAGAAGCCCTTGGGGAAAACTGAATTGAAAAGTGGTACAAAGTCCATCAAGTTCCCTTCCAGAAAGGAGCAGGTTGTCACCTTGCGCCGCAACACAGGAAACCTGCCTGAAGACGAACCGGTGCTTCAAAAGGGCGTCTGCCGGGGACTTGATCATCACTCTCCTGTTGAGCATGCCACAAGACACAGAGGTAAACTTGGCAAGTGTTTCGAAAAGTTGAACAAGATAAGTAAATATGTATATATATATATGATTTGGATATCAAAGCAGCGGCAACGGAAAAACTCAAGCCACTCCGTATGGTGATGCATGAAGCATGAAGCCACTCAGAGCCCCAGGCCTTGGCTCCGTCGTCCAAGTCACTGTCGTCCAGGTCACCGTCAGTCCAAGTCTTCCTCTGCAGGGCGTCTGCAACAGCCTGGCCGAAGCAAAGCTAGGTCGAGTCGAAGCTCGCTTTGACAGATGCACGTTCCCAAGTGTGAAAGAGCAATCCACACTAGGCCCCTGAGAGCTTATATGAGAAGCTTTGGCCGCATGCTGAGACAACAACTTGAGACTCTGTAGATTAGCCCGGCGGAGAGCCAGCCAAGAAATTGACGCTGTGGGTTAGCACACAAGAAAAAACGTACACCTCAATCCACTTCGGTCATATTTGTCATCAAGTCGTCAATGGTCATGTATGGTCAGTATTTGCAAAACGTAAGAAAATTTGGCTCACCTCTGACCAACCTGGACCAGCCTTCGAATCGACATGACACTCACTTGAAGCCGATCTGAAAATGGTTCAAGTGAAAGCATCCTAAAGAGGCTATGCCTGGACATATCACCAACAACATCAACAACCAAACAGAAATCAAGCAAACTACATGGTAAGCGGCGGATAGAACACCACCTGTTTTTCCAACCGTTGCAAGTTCACTTTCCCTGTGTTTTCTCAGGTTTTCTGCTTTCGTCCATTTTTTGGACCCTCTCAAATCTTGCGACAAACTACTTCGTTTTATCAATGCTGTATCTGTAAGTGTGTATTTTTTCCTATCACAAGCTTTGCAGGACGTGAGTTAATTTTTGATACACTTCGTTAGGACTAGAAGAAGGTGTCCAAATTCTGTACAACCATTGTTTGATCAAAGTATCGATTTCTGGGTGCATCTTGGATCCAAAGTTTCCTTTGAGTTTGCTAAAGAAAGTTGATCCAATGAATTCCTTCAATCCTCTCCAATGCCGATCAATGCATTGAGTTCCAATGATCAATGGAATTGTGGTAAATGAATTTACATAAACCGGGGACATAGTCAGGCAAAAGCATCACATCCAGAGCGTGTTTCAAATTACTTAGAAAAGTACAGAAAAATATAGAAAAATAACATCATGAGCGTGTTACAAGAAGCTGATCTGGAAATGCTTCGAATGAAAGCATGTCAAAGAGACTAGGCCTGGACACATCACCAACAACCAAACTGAAGTCAAGCAAGCAACATCTACCCAGGGAGAACATCATAATACTTGTGATACCCCTTGATGTGGGTTACGTCTAAGCCAAAGAGACCAAGACTTCCAGTGCAGGCCGGGCCTGAGCTCCCTCGGGACCAATCATGTTATATGCCAAATTCATGTCCCGCACGGAGCTATTCGTCTTCAAGGCTTCCGCGAGAGCCTGAAAGAAACACAAGACATCAAGATCCGGGTCAGCAACTGCAACAAGTAAAATCAGTAAAGAGACTTGGCTCGCCTCTGACCAACCTAGACCAACCTACGAATCGACATGACACTCACTTGAAGCTGATCTGGAAATGCTTCGAATGAAAGCATGTCAAAGAGACTAGGCCTGAATACATCACCAACAACCAAACTGAAGTCAAGCAAGCAACATCTACCCAGAGAGAACATCATCATACTTGTGATACCCCTTGATGTGGGTTGAGTGTAAGCCAAAGAGCCCAACACATCCGTCATCCGATACAGGCCGGGCCTGAGCTCCCTCGTCACAGATGCCATTCCCTACCAAATTCATGTCCCGCACGGAGCTATTGATCTTCAAGGCTTCTGCGAGAGCCTGAAAGAAACACAAGACATCAAAGATCCGGGTCAACTGCAACAAGTAAAATGAGTAAAGAGACTTGGCTCGCCTCTGACCAACCTAGACAAACCTACGAATCGACATGACACTCACTTGAAGCTGATCTGGAAATGCTTCGAATGAAAGCATGTCAAACAGACTAGGCCGGCACACATCACCAACAACCAAACTGAAGTCAAGCAAGCTACATCTACCCAGAGAAAGCATCATCATACTTGTGATACCCCTTGATGTGTGTTGAGGCTGAGTCTAAGCCAAAGAGCCCAACACATCCGATACAGGCCAGGCCTGAGCTCCCTCGGCACCAATCTCATTACATGCCAAATTCATGTCCCGCACGGAGCTATTGATCTTCAAGGCTTCTGCGAGAGCCTGAAAGAAACACAAGACGTCAAAGATCCGGGTCAGCAACTGCAACAAGTAAAACTAGTAAAGAGACTTGGCGAAGCGAGATGTAAGGGGAACATGGGCAAGGGAGTGAAGGTGGCTCTGAGTGGAGTTAGTCAGGTGGTGAGTTGGATGGAGTGCGGGCTGGGCGGAGTGAGATTGGTGGATGAAGGTTGGTAGAGTGAGTTCGTTGGATTGCTAGAGTTGGATAGAATGAGTGAGTTGGATGGAGTGGATTTAGTGGAATGAGTCTGATCGAGTGCATTCATATTGTCATATAGTAATATAGTCTAGTCATTTAGGGGACCGAGTTAGATGACTTGAGTTTGGTGGAGAGCGTTGGAAAGTGTGAGGTGGAGTCATCCGAGCCACGTTCCAAGGTAACATTATGTTACATTTCGAGCTTTTGTGTCCAAAATGATAGCTGATGTAGATGGTGTGATGGTGTGGTCTCATTGGGGGAAATCAAGCCCAAGTCAGCCAGTGTTCAATGGGTGGAACAGGGCCAATCGCTGCCTCCGACATCCCTTACTACCGCAAGAAGCAACTCGCTAGCTATAGCTACCCGTGATATGCTTCAAATGACTCCAAGAGGAGGTCACCCAGCAATTCAGCGACTTGCCCTTCATTGTTGTATCTGCGGTGAGAAAGCAATCGTATCAAGCAAGTGGATCAATGATCAAACAATCTGCTGCCTTCACCATGAATCGGCCACTTTCACCGATGCCCCAGCTGATTTCAAGCGTCTCCACTTGACGTGATGCCAAAGCCTGCAGGGCGCCAGGTTTTTTGAGGACACGGCAAAGTTTTTTTTCCATCCAAGGTCACACAACTAGCATCAACTAGCACCACCATCACCGACATGTCTCGGGCCTTCCCTAGGGACGTTGCCTCTTCCTCACCACATCGAAACCTCCTCACCGTCAGGCTCTTCAGATTTTCGTAG